GTCCCCCCCCCCCCCCCCCCTTATGTGCGCCCCTGAATGTACACAAGACAATGCATAATTGTTGAAGGAATTTGTAGGACTTAATTAGACCTAACATCTACAAATGTCTTCATCAATTAGTTATAAAGACAAAGCAAACCTTTTCCCGTGTTTCCTGTCACTGCATTGGAATAACTGTTAGGTGCTGAAGACGAATGACTTCTAGAAGTTGAGAATGCTGAAGCGTTTGGATTTAGATTGGATTTGCCACCTTGACTTCCTACATCATGAAATGGAAAAGATGCTTGTTATGCATGCCTTCCCCGCATGCAGGTGTCGCCTTAGTTGGTTGTAGTATTAGACTATTAGAGTTAGTGTTACAAAAATGAGGGGGATGCCTGCCGAGGAAACTAAGTTTGTGTAACTTTATATGATCTCTATAGATGCAGTATTTATACACGTCATTATTGTGCTGTATGCAGGAACTGTTAGTACTATATATGCTTTGTTGTTTAATATGTGTATTGGTGTCATTTATGTAACTGCCACTATGTAACATGTACAAGGCGAATTAAATAAATAAATAAAATAAATAAGTATTAAAACGTTTGCATACCTTATTAAATACGTTTGCAAACGTTAAAAATAATTTTCAATGTAATACTCAAAATATGCCCTAATACGGTTGTTCGCAGTTTTTTGAAAGCACGACTTTGCTTGTACGATTTAGCGCATATTAAATAATAAAAACAAAAAAAACACAATATATAGTACAAAACGTTCACACAACCGTAATGAAAAGTGATCTTAAAGATGGAAAATGCAAATCTAAAACTTATTATTTATTAATAATATATGACTAAATTAGCATATTGCTTTATTTTGCTCGCATGATAATACTGGATACCTGGTGAAGTATATTGATCCAGTCCTAGGACTAGATTGAAATTAATTCAGTTCTTGGACTGGATCAAAATTAATTCACCTCACTACTTAAAAGTGGTGATTTATTCATATAAGATGTCATTTTAACTTCTTCAATTCGAACTAGACCAGAATTCAAGTCCTCACATTTTGATCCTGTGCTCGGCTTCGCCTCGGACTTGATGTTATTGCGTGGACTTGAAGTCTAGTCCAGTCCTCATAGTCGGATTTGAAAAATTACTTAACTCAATTTCAGTTCGGAATTGAGTCACCTTACTCCATAACGTACCTTTATTATCTATACGGGAACTATGACTCACTGCCAAAGTGGCCTTAGCCGGTTTTGGGTCCACCGGTTTAGTGGGTTTGTTGGTGGCTATAGGATTTTGCTTCCAGTCATTAGACTGGCTTTGCCCATGCTGGGTTGCTTTTTCGTTTCCACCGACGTTGTTGGAATGAAATAATTCAACATTTTCCCGATGAATTGAAGCACCAAACCGTTTCTTCATTTCTTGTGCGAACACTTGTGAAGTTGGTTTATCGATGTTAACAAAGCGAATTTCTTTCAAAGAATTGGATTTAGCTGCGTTCTTCACAAAATTTATCGCCGCTATAAATAGAATTTCGGCACAGATCTGGACAGGAACACCAAATATGCCAGAACCTATAGCAGGGATAGAGATACTTTTAGCATCATAATGACTTGCATTTGTCAAACAGTTGATAACTGCGCTGAACAACACATTCTTCGCTGTATCCTTTTCATAATACTGATAATGAGCCCATCTTGGACCGACTACGTGAATGATAAAGTTACAACGAAGGTTTCCAGCTTTTGTCAGTACGACTTCTCCGGGATTTAGAACGTAACGGCGTTTCCTCATAATTGCGTCACTTTCATCTTGAATTGATTTCCCTCCAGCTTTTACAATTGCTTCCGCTGCCCCTGCGCTATGGTTGAGATGTTCGTTTGCTGGATTCACGATAACATCGACCGTTTCTTTAGTAATATTTCCTTGGTAGACAAAAACTTTTATATCTTGGAATAAAACACAAGAAAGCTTTTCAATAAGAATTTTTTCTCCTGTTGTACTTGTGGGGTTGGGTGAACCTGCTGCTGCCCCTTTGGAAGAACTTGACCCTGTCGCCCCTTTGGAAGAACGTCCCCCTTTGAATTCGGAAGAATTACTTGGTGTACTGGTTGTCAAATCACCAACTTTGTTTCTCAAGAACTTTAATGCCCCTTGAACGTTATCTTTCTCACCATAGATCGTTATTTTATCCGGGTCTTGCGCTGAATCGATTACCACGGAAAACTTGGCACGAGCCTCCAAAATAACATCATTTCTCTTCTTTGGCAACATTGGGATAACCTCTTGGTGCATTTTTTGGTTTTGATTTTGATAAAAGCGAATAAACTCATCCACAGTTTTGGAAAATATATCTCCGTTCACATCCTGGCGGGCAAAAAATTTCAAATTCCTGTCAGTTTTCGACTCAGAAACTTCAAAACTGATTTCTTGAGAAACATTTTCAAGCTTCTGATACTCTTCATAATGATATGCAATGATGAAGCGAATAAACAGCGAACTGATAGAAAACGATTCGTCCGGTTCTTTACTTTGCGCCGATTGGTCGGATGGTCTAGTTAGTACACGCGCCGATTGATCAGTTGCTCTTAGTTGGACACTTGATTGGTCACAGCTCTGATCTTCCTAGAGATCAATTAAGGGCAATTTCTTAATATAACTATGTTACAACAGAAGAAAAATTAGTTAGTTTAAATTTATTAGGTATATCATTTTGATGTATTTAACAATTATACCATGAGCTCGAGTCGTATATTAAACAATTATTGCATGAGGTCGAGTAGGATATGAGGAATTATTAAGACCAAGGTTTGTGTTATGTTTCGAAGGCTGAGGCAAATAACACAAACCCAGAAATGGCTGTATCTTATAGTCAATAAAATTTGCACTGTATTATTTTCATCTTTAGGTACTGTATTTCGAAAAAATTACACAGTTCTTAGCCAATCAGAATTGAGAAATGTTTTCATGTATATATGTATAGTTAGTAATACGGTCATCCACCGTATGGGCTATTCTGCAATCTGACTGGTTGAATTATTCGCTCTCTATTATACTTTCTATACTAATAGAGTATTCAATTATACTATCAGCTCATTACCACTCGAGCTCATGGTATAATTGTTAAGTATATATCATCAGTCATATCATTTTCAAACTGTTCTCCCATGCAAGAGGTCGTGTAAAATTCATCCCTTATGAGACAATATTACTACAGGAGTACAGTCTGCACAGAAAACCAAGGATTAGCGGAGTCGAACTCAGTGAACATTTTTGCTACCTTGCATACATTATAAACCATACACTTACTGTCTGAGAGTTCCTCTGTTCGACATTCAGTTCTGCTTCACCAATCTTGAGCGTATCACCTACGGCTGTCGGACATATAATTAAGAGAATAAAGCTTGTTTTGCATCTGACATTACAAGTTAAGCTCCTAAAAGTCAAACAAACAATTTAGAGATCACTCATGCAATGGCAGTCTTTCCAGTGGGTCATTATGTTGGTGTACCTGTGTAAGAGACTCATCATTTAGTAACTGGTTCCTTACCTGTATCCTTCTTGCCTGCATTGACATCTCCTAAACCGTTTGCCAGCCTGGTCAAGATCTGTTCGTTTATTGGCTCCTTGCCGGCACAAGCTGTAGTGTAGCTCAAATTTGCAACGGGTATAGGTGCTTTGAAATACTTTTCGCGTTTTTTTAGGAGAGAATTGGCGTTATCCAGCATCATTTTCTGAGAGGAAATGATTTCTTCTTCTGAGCCTTGGTCGACCAACTTTTTCGAAAGTTGAAGAGATGTTTTTATGTTCTCTACGTACAACTTTGTTTCTTAATTGTGCCTGTCTGTCCAAATTAGCTCGTTTGCCTTTGTGAATTTCATCTACTTTTTTACAAAGACTTTCAGCTTTTTGATCCAACATTTCAATGACTTTCTTCGCCACAAATTCTCTTCTTTGCGCAATTTTAGTTTTGATATTTTCAGCATCGCGATCAAGTTGTGCTGTCATGAGTGTTAATCTTTTAAGAAATGTATTGCTTTCAGTTAAAGCGTCCTCCATTGCTTTGTTATTTGAAGCAAGAAGTTCCTTATAGTTGCTCGCGACATCCTTGACGAGAACACACGAATGACCTTGCTTGACGTGTTTAAAATCCATGCAGTCCCTACAAATCAGTTGGTCGCAGGTTTCGCAATAAACTTTCAAATCCATGCCCGAATGTTCATTGCAATACATTTTGTCCTTGATTTTCTTGCGATTTTCAGGCTTCGATAACTCTTCCATCGTCAGAACAGAATGACCGTCGTTGGCTCGATATTTGTTATGATCTGTCAGACATTCTCGGCACAGGAATTTTTCACAGGTGACGCAACGAGCGACCGAGTAGCTTTGACTACAATTATGTGAACAAGGAACACCGATTCCACGATCGAGTACAGCCGTCGCTTTTACCATGTTACAGATGAAATGATTCCGTGGCATGTCGGCGACATGTTTGTCGGGATGGAGTACAAACCAGGCACGACAATTTGGACATGGAAACTTTCGAATAAGTCGACCGTGAGGTGCTTTGCCACGCAATGTTTGCACAATGCCTTCTAAACAATCTTTACAGAACGAATGGCAGCAAGGAAGGGTTCTGGGATCTTTTAATACCTCCAGACATACAGTACATTGTAGATTTTCTGTTCATTGATCGGATCAGTTACTGAAGAACGAGCCATTTGAAACGATATATATTTCAGAAGGGAATCAATTTACACGTCGACTTGTCATTAGCTTCGGCAATGACGCGAAACGAGGTCCATGACTGAATTAACATTCAGTATTAGTTCTTAGAAGACGAGTTCTTGGTAAACTCTTGTTGCCATGTATCAAATTACAATCATTATAATTTAGGCGAAGGCCTTGACAGGAATGACGTCAATGACATGAACGAGACCCATGACTGTATGACTGAACTTACCAGTCGTTCTGCAGTTTTTACATATCATTCGATGTCGTTTCTCCGGACTTAACACAATGTTTAGCACACAATTTTAACAATGTTGGGAAATGTGGCAAAGATTATTAAAAAACTGGTCGTATTTCATTTAAATAAATTCATTGGGAAGTCTTGGCTTAGATATTCCCGCAAAAGACAGAGAGTCTAATTAGTAGTTTTATTTAAGCAAAACGGCACACGTTGTATTTCTGTAGTAACACTGCACCAATGAGAGATAGGCCTCCACACAGAGGAATAACGTCTTGGACAAAACTGGTAAATACTATATCCTGCAGAACAAATAGCCGGAAAATTTAATTAGATCATTAGTGTGATATCACGGAAGGAGAATCGTGATTGTGTGGTTAAATGTGAACGCCATTATCTTTATCGGTATACCTTTAATAGTGGTCAATTAATTGAATATAAAAGCATAAACCATTTAAAATTGGATAATGATTTTTATAATCACTTAAAAAACTCATTAATACTTGTAGTCGTGTTTTAAATAGTACATAACTGAACTTTCATTGTATTAGGCAATCTTTATATGCAAAGAGATTTATATATATTATTGCAAAGAAGTTTACCGTAAACCTCCGACTATAAGCCCCCCGAATATAAGCCCCCCCCCCCACTTCGTGTATAACCCACCACATGTACTAACGCTCACATCATTCCAAATATAAGCCCCCCTCCCCGAATATAAGCCCACCCGAATATAAGTCCCCCAATTAATATAAGCCCAGTAATCGCTGCTTAATACACGTTTATTTCCCTGTTTATGACTGACTTGTTTATATGTCTGACTTGTTTATTACTAACACAAAATATTGTCCATGTATAAGCCCACCCGTATATAAGCCCCATCTTGTATAAATGCTGCAGTGCTGAGTGGTTATATTACTACCTTAAAAAATAAGCAGTCCATCAAAAATCGAAAGTATATAAGCCCAGGGCTTATAGTCGGAGGCTTACGGTGTTGTCTTATAATCGCATGACTAAATATAAATTCCTGCTGAACTCTTGTTTCTATATATTTCAATTTATAATATCCTATATGCGAAATTTATTGCTGGTATGACACTTCACTATCACTTCCAGAGTTCTATTGCGTAGAAATTAGATCATAACAATTCCTTTGTTCTTTTTCAGTTTTTCAGTTATTTGAAAGTTTAGTTTTGAAGATATAACTGCATGCTTAAAGTTGCAACATTTGAAGAACGTTTTAAAATACTAAGCTATAGTTGCAGAGTATTACCGCCTTGTTACAACAGGGAACGCGCAGAGATTTTACGATGGGCCAGGTTGAGATGAAGTACTTTACTGCGAACTTCTTAAGGGAGTCTGCCAGAAAATTTTGAAAATTACAAGCCTGGAAAGTGCATTTCCAGTTTTTTTCCACAATAATTTTGTTAAAATGCCTGATGATAGGCAGATATATTTCTGTGACTGAAAAATTAGCTAGTGAAGTTTCTTGCCGATGGTTATCGTATTGTAAAAGAACGATTACATAAAAATGCACTGACGGTCAAGTCGAGTAAATGCAACTATAAATACTTATTTTGGTACTATTGAACCAGTTCTGTATATCATAGGGGGCTGAATGGAAATGAAACAGGAAGCATATGATGTATTAAATGTTATGTTAATTTTATGTTTTACGTAATTTTTTTGTAACATCTTTTAGTGCATGTTTGTTAACGGAAACTCGAATCATTATATGATAGTTAGCACTAATCATTATATGATAGTCCTTACTAGTATATTTGAAAGCGACGTGTCCAATAACAATTTATGATAATGGTGATACACACCGGCTCAGCAAATGTTATGCGTTTTATATGATACTACCCTAACGACTCCAACTATAGCGTGTTTCCACATTGTTTATTCTGTAATTCCTTTTGCAGCCAGTTCTTCCTGCACTCTCTTCAAGTAGTTTGGGTCGGGATAACCAAACCTGAAATAAAAGGAATTATATAATTTAAAATTAATGATAATGCAACTTAACTTGTCAATAAAAAGCTCAGCTGCTGGATTGTGCAATATCTATAAAACGAAATAAAGAATTATCGCAATAAAAAATCGACACAATCCAGATATGTTTCTAACATACCATGTTGGTCCTCCTGTAACGTTGGTTTTATGATGAATATTGTTCCAAGTTATGACATTGTTAGCTCCAGTGGTCGATGATCGTCCGATAGTAAATATCAATTTCTGATCAAACGCTTTTCTCAGCAGCTTCAAAACTTTCTGCCCTTCTCTGTTGTCAGGTAGATATCCATATCGAGTTATTCCCGAATACCGCTGACCAGGGTTTGGATGATTTGGTCCCTGCACTCCACTTTCGAACTTGTAAGTAATATGAATGCTGCCTCCGCACGATTCATATCCAGGAAGCGTTATTGATGAATGACTTAAAATCATTTTTCCGGGAGGTTGATTTCCAATCAAAGGACCATAAACCTGGGAACAAACTGTACATTTCTTTTGATGTTTAAATGCTTCGTCAATACAGGCAGCACAAAATGAGTGGCCACATTTATGCAGGGTTTTCTTATCTGTCATGTGAGACAAGCAGATTGAACATTCTTCTTCCTCAGTGCCTTTTCGATCAACAGTCAATGAATTTCCATCTAAGATTAAACCAATACAGAAAATAAACATATAAACTTAAAACCTTTTTACATGAAACTTTTTTCTAGGATATAGACACATCAATCAGAGATATCTGCTACACTTTGCACAAAAACCTGTATAAAATCTGTCATTTTCTCAAAATCTGTAGGGAAAAATCGAAAAATTTTTGTTTAATAACTCGTTGAATATAAAATCCATTGGAAATCTTACAGTAATTCCTTTAAGAATTTCGTAAATGTGTCATAAAGGCGAAATTTTTATGGAGCCTCTTGTGGAGCCTTTAGAAAATTGGATGCCACCAATCGAATCCCACCTTGACCTGACTTTCCTGGAAGTTGTAGATTTCCAATCCGCATGCCAGGGTAATAAACTGAAGAATAAAATTAGCTGCATTTTATGCGCCTCTGTATTACACTAGAATATTGACAATTGTATTGTATTATTCTTCACTTCTATCCTAGTATCTGTCTATATAGGAACATAACACATTTCTTTAAAATTTCGTAAATCAGATCCTTTTGCACTCTCCCTTTTGGGCCCCAGTCCCCATCGCCCTCCATATCATTACCTACTATATCTTCCCTCTCTTCATTCACCTCTCCTAAACTGTTTGCCAGTCCTCTCAAAATCTCTTCGTTTATTGGTTCTTTGCTAGTAGAGGAAGTGTAGTTCAATTTTGCAACGGGTATAGGTGCTTTGAAATACTCTTCGCGATTTGTTAGGAGATTATTTGCGTTATCCAGCATCATTTTCTGAGAGGAAATTATTTCTTCTTCTGTGCCTTGGTCGACCAATTTTTTTGAAAGTTGAACAGACGTTTTTATATTCTCTACATGTAACTTTGCTTCTTCTGCCTGTCTGTCCAAATTGGCTCGTTTGCCTTTGTGAATTTCATCAACTTTTTTACAAAGACTTTCGGCTTTTTGATCCAACATTTCAATGACTTTCTTCGCCACGAATGCTTTTCTTTGTGCAATTTTATTTTTGGCATTTTCAGCATCGCGATCAAGTTGTTGTGTCGTCAGCGTTAATCTTTTGAGAAATGCATTGCCTTCAGTTAAAGCGTCTTCCATTGCTTTGCCATTTGAAGCAAGAAGTTCCTTATAGTTGTTCGCTACATCCTTGACGAGAACACACGAATGACCTTGCTTGACGTGTTTAAAATCCATGCAGTCCCTGCAAATCAGTTGGTCGCAGGTTTCGCAGTAAACTTTCAATTTCTTGCCCGAATGTTCATTGCAATACATTTTGTCGTTGATTTTCTTGCGATTCTCTGGCTTCGATAACTCTTCCATCGTTAGAACAGAATGACCGTTGTTGCCTCGATAATTGTCGTGGCCTGTCAGACATTCTCGACACAGGAATTTTTCACAGGTGACGCAACGAGCGACCGAGTAGCTTTGAATACAATTATGTGAGCAAGGAACACCGATTCCACGATCGAGTACGGCCGTCGCTTTTACCATGTTACAGATGAAATGGTTCCGTGGCATGTCGGCGACATGTTTGTCGGGATCGAGTATAAACGTTGCACGACAATTTGGACATGGAAATTCTCGAATAGGTCGACCGCGAGGTGCTTTGCCACGCAATGTTTCCACAACGTCTTCCAAACAATCTTTACAGAACGAATGGCAACAAGGAAGGGTTCTGGGGTCTGTTAGTACTTCCAGACATACATTACATTGTAGATTTTCTTCAAGTTCATTGATCGGGTCAGTCGCTAAGGCACGAGCCATTTTAAACGAGATACATTTCAGAAAGGAACCATTTTACACGTCGAGTTAGTCTGAGCTTCGGCAATGACGTGAAACGAGACCCTACAGAGAGGTTTTATTGTTTTATAATCACATGACTGAACTTTAAGTATAGTTCTTAGAAGACGAATTCTTGGTAAACCCTTGTTGCCAGTATCAAATTACAATCCTTATTTATTGGGTAAAGGCATTGACAGGAATGATGTCAATGACGCGAACGAGATCCATAGTGATCATGACTAAACTTACTAGTCATTCTGAAGTTTTCACATATCATTCGATGTCGTTTCTCCGGGACTAATTGAAATGCTTTGACGCTCTGCTTAACACAATGTTTAGTACACAATTTTAACAATGTTGAGAAAGTTAAACAAAACTGGTCGTATTTCATTTAAATAAATTATTTGCGAAGTCTTGGTTTCGATTCCCGCGAAAGGCAATGAGTCGTCTCATTATTTCATCTCTGTCGCATAAAGAGATGATGTGTTTGTCTAACGTTTCGGTTTCCTCTACCAAATGGACTGGGAAGGAGCTACCAGCTTGGAATTCGCGATATGCCAGGCGCATATTTAGCTTACGAGGGCGCGCAGAATCTCAAAGCACGCGAAAACAACCACGCAATTACAAATTATAAGTTGTACCAGTTGCCTCACTCAGCAAAAATAGTGTTCGAAAATTTTCACGAATGAAGTGATGAAATTACTATTTAGTAATGCAAGATCATAATATCGAATTCACATTGCCCGTCATTGGCAATTAGAAATGTACTTCTGACGCGATGTTTCGCCGCCATTTTGGCAGTACGTGTCGCACGCGTCAGCAACTCAGCATGGCGTGTAGTCGTGATCAGCCTCGCGAAAATCGCGGACACGAAAATCATAGGCCTATATACAGAGGGCAATTGCTAGATAGTATACTTCAAAATAAGATTTCCGTTTTTATTCTATTTTTAAAATAAGTAGGGTTAGGTTAGGGTTTAGGTTAGGGTTAGGTTGGGGTTAGGTTTAGTATTAGGGTTAGGGTTTAGTTTTGCGTTAGAATAATTTTTTCTACGTTATAAAAACGGAAACCTTATTTTGAAGTATACTATCTAGCAATCACCATATACAGAGGGAGGCATCTGGTACAATTTATAATCTGTGACGCAATGTAGCGGAAGCAAGATGAACACTGTAATAAACCGTCAAGTCACAGAATAGAAAATATATCAGAAGGTCCACGTAGCCAAAATTATGTCCGAGATTTTTCATACACAGGTGCGAGCCAGCAAATGTAATCACGATGACATCAAACGCGAGCAATAACTAGCAATACGTCGCAAACCCCACGCACGTACTGGAGCCTGGGGACGAGGCTGAGCAATACGCCATTACTTGCCATCACTAAGTAATAAAGATCGCCGTTTAACAGTTTTTAAATGCCACGGCACAGGTCCAAATAATGGGTCATCGCAACAGGAATACATACGGTACATTGTAGATTTTCTTCAAGTTGATTGATTGGGTCAGTTTCTAAAGCACAAGCCATTTAAAACGACATAAATTTAAGAAGGAAACCATTTTACACGTCGAGTTAGTCTGAGCTATAGTTTTTTGTCCATTTATCACTTTTTCTTTTCCTCTTTAATTGTACTTTAATTTGTATTAGTTTGTATTAGCTATATGTAATTATGTGTAATTGTGTGTCTCTCTGGCTTGATCAGGATGAAAAAGGTAGCCCAAAATTTATAAGCCTTATGGTTTTTCTTGGGTTCCTTGCCAGTATAATTTATTTATGAATGCTGTATTTTTTTATTTATTTTTTTTGGCAAAATAAATTGACTTGACTTGACTTAAAAAATAAAAGCGTAAAATATTTACACAATGATTGCAGAATATGCAGCGTACACTTTGAGCATGTTTTGTGAATTTCAAAAAACCTGTTGATTTGAGGAATTGATCAGCTTCGTCCCCAGGCTCCAGTACGTGCGTGGGGTTTGCGACGCGCAGCTACATTTCCCCCTTTTCCCGCCCACGCGTGTTTCTCACGCGCCGGGGACGAGGCTGGGAATTGATGCTGATATGTTCGCAGCAAGTGTCACACACGTCGTCTAACGTGCGCAATTCGTGATCCGCAAGGTGAAAATCGCAGACACGAAAATGTTAGGGAAAGGTGTACCGGTGTGGCTTCTGGTATATTTCCTATCCTGTTGTCAAATCTTTGAAATGGTTTTCGTGGAGGAAACCGAAACGTTAGACAAAATAAAACATGTCAGTAATCTGAAAGAACAATACAAATAAATGAATAAACCCAGCTTCAAACCCTTCAACAAAATTATTTATTTGTTAGGAGAAATAAATAGTTTTATTATCATTATTATTATTATTATTAATATTGCTACCAATGCTTTCTTTTTCTCAGTTTTATTCTTGGCATTTTCAGCATTGCGATCAAGTTGTTCTGGTGTAAGGCTTAATAGTTTATTAGAGGCATTGCTTTCAATTAAAGCGTCTTCCATTGCTTTGTTATCTGAAGCAAGAAGTTCCTTATAGTTGCTCGCGACATCCTTGACGAGAACACACGAATGACCTTGCTGGACGTGTTTAAAATCCATACAGTCCCTACAAATCAGTTGGTCGCAGGTTTTGCAGTAAACTTTTAATTCCATGCCAGAATGTTCATTGCAATACATTTTGTCGTTGATTTTCTTGCGATTTTCTGGCTTCGATAACTCTTCCATCGTTAGAACAGAATGACCATTGTTGGCTCGATATTTGTTGTGATCTGTCAGACATTCCCGGCATAGGAATTTTTCACAGGTGACGCAGCGAGCGACCGAGTAGCTTTGACTACAATTATGTGAACAAGGAACACCGATTCCACGATCGAGTTCGGCCGTCGCTTTAACCATGTTACAGATGAAATGGTTCCGTGGCATGTCGGTGACCTGTTTGTCGGGATCAAGTATGAACATCGCACGACAATTTGGACATGGAAACTCTCGAATAGGTTGGCCGCGAGGTGCTTTGTCGCGACATATTTCCACAACGCCTTCCAAACAAACTTTACAGAACGAGTGGAAGCAAGGAAGGGTTCTGGGATCCGCTAATACTTCCAGACATACGGTACATTGTAGATTTTCTTCAAGTTGATTGATCGGGTCAGTTTCTAAAGCACAAGCCATTTAAAACGACATAAATTTCAGAAGGAAACCATTTTACACGTCGAGTTAGTCTGAGCTTCAATGACGCGAAACGAGACCCTACAGAGATTTTATTGCTTTTTAATCACATGACTGAACTTTCGGTATTAGTTCTTTGTAAACCCTTGTTGTTAGTATCAAATTACAATTCTTATAATTTAGGTGAAGGCCTTGACAGGAATGCGACTGAACTTACTAGTCATTCTGCAGTTTTTACATATCATTCGATGTCGCGTTTCTCCTGCATGGACTAATTGAAATGTTTGACATTTTGCTTAACACAATGTTTAGCACACAATTTGACAATGTTGAGAAAGTTTATTTTAAAAACAAAGCTGGTCGTATTGTATCTACATAAATTCATTGCGAAGTCTTAATGGATTACAAGTTGAAATAGGTCCCTTACATAACTTGATCAAAATGAAGAAAATCATAATGGTATATTCTGCAGTTCTGAAAAAAAAAGCTCCTGCAAACTTGCACAATCTCTTTGAATTTGTTAAAGACGCACAGAATGTCCCAACAAAATCATCAATTCCGGATTTAAAAGTTCCCAAAGTTCGATTCAAAAGGTCTTGTAGATGGAAGTTGTCGAGTGGAAATTTATATAAATTTATTAGACCTATGTAACCAGGAACAATTGCGAAAAATGCAACTTTAGGGACCGTTCATTATTTATACCAGGGGTTGGTACCGAACAGATATGGGTTGGGTAATCAAGTTTTTGACTAGCTCATAGGTTGGGTAAAAAGGTTTATGGCTGTCTGTCAGCTACAAAATAAAATAAAACCAAAATTACCATGCATTGGAAAATATCAAGAAAAATCTGTAAAAAATAGACCATGCATCAATGATTGAGGAAGGACTATCATTGATCAGCAGGAATGTGATTGCTTTGGCACACTCAGTGAGTTTGAGTGAGACGGTGAGCTGTCACATTGTGTGTTTATTTATTATGAAGTACAGTAACATATGGGTTGGGTAAACATTATTTTGACCAATGTTGAGGCCAAGTAAATAAAAAATGTACACTGTTTTTCGGTTCTCTTCGATACCAACCCCAGGTATAAATAATGAACGGTCCCTTAGGTATATAGATTTCCATCTATACAATCTTAATCTTAATCGAGTGAGATATGCCTCGATGTTTACCCATAACCTAAACACGGCAGTACCCTATATATATATATATATATATATATATATATATATATATATATATATATATATATATATATATATATATATATATATATATATATATATATATATATATATATATATATAAATATATATATTGAGCACTCTGCGGAGTTGTTAATGGGTGTCTATTAGCGATAATGCAAAGCTCACTTCCCTTGTGCATGGTCGTTTGAGCACTCTGGCCCCATTACGCTCTGCGCATGTCTCAAGTGGATGCGTTGAGTCACCGTGTTGTACCACATGCCTTGGTGAGAGCAAGTTCATGGGATATAAATAGAAAGAAACTATTACATATTTTAGAAACTCTTTTTTTAACCGAATTGTCTTTCTATGGAACAATCTCTCTCCGATCATTCGTAACAGTTCGTCTGTTTCGTCCTTTAAGCTCCAGCTCCATTCTCACTACTCTTCTCAATTAGATTCTTCTTTCGATATTAACAGAATGCGCACTTGGAAAACCTTCTGCTCTAAATGCCGTTCTTTCAACTTAAGCTGTTGCTCATAATCTAAACTATTAATTTTTATATAGCTATGTAAATAGTGTTCTAGTCCTTGTCTTTAATGTATGTCTACTTATTGTATTGTATTGTATCAGGTTGGTCTTCACATGGGACTCGTGTCCTGTTGACCATACCTTCAATCATTTTTATAATTTTTGCATGATTGTAAAGTTAATAAATAAAATATATATATTTGAGGTAAAACGAAAAACTATATATATATATATATATATAGCTTAAGATTTTGGTTTACGAAACACAAACAGTGCTCAATACCATATAGATAGAGCGTAATATAGTTTTTCGTTTTACCTCAAAAAACCACAACAGTCTGTTTCATCCGTATAGGAAGGAATTCCTATACGGATGAAACAGACTGTTGTGGTTTTTTGAGGTAAAACGAAAAACTATATATATATATATATATATATATATATATATATATATATATATATATATATATATATATATATATATATATATATATATATACAGGGTGTATCATAAAAAACGGAGTCCTCGCTTCAAATATAAATTTCGAAACGAATATTAGAGTAAAACGTTCAGGTTCACATTTGTTTTAAAACGTAGGCATTCAGCTTTCCAACGATGGGTTGTTTCGTAAGGGACGGACCATTTGATTTTTCATGGGGGGGGGGCGCATTTTTGAGAGTGCTCGATTTTTTTTTGGACCTCACCGACTCCGCACGATTTTTTTTTATCGAATCTTGCCGCGTGCACGATATTTTTTTAAATTTTTACTATAGCGTTAATACAATAATAACCACGTATGGTTATATTCCGGCTGAAGAATGTATTTGAATATACAGCATATAACCACAAAATAGGAAAGTATAGCAGAAGTGTAACCCACGAAAATTTTAACTCGCTCACGCCATCCTGGCTAGTACAGCCGGACGTTTTTATCATGTCTTGATAGGTACAAAGTGCCGGTTGTACTAGCCAGGATGGCGTGATTGATGACGAATCGCTTGTAAAAGCGCGGACAAATACTTGCTTGAGTGAGACTTGTGGTATACCTTCCTATTCTATGATATAACTATCACAGCCCATTTTATACTTGGCCCATTTTATACGGGGCTATGGTCTACGAAATGTAGACCATAGCCCAATCAAAATTGGATCAAGTGTATTAAAGTGTGTAACCCATTTTGCATTGGCGTAATGGCATCTATATACAAATTATCACGGTTCCCAATCGTATCAGTGTTCCCAATACGTATTATAAACTGCGATTTTTATCCAGAATCAGAGAGCGCTATTAATGAGCCGGGTGGGAAAGGGTATTTTTGTGACCCGTGAATGCAGTGGCGTAGCCACAGGTGTAAGCCTTTTTAGGGGGGTCCGAGGGCATTCTCCCCCGGGAAAATTTTGAAATCTGGAGTCCCTCAATGGCGATTTCCCGTGTTTCTGGGGAGAGATTTTGCATAATTCTGAAGATTATTTACTGCAGGAAAGACCTGATTTTTAATGATTTCTCAATAATGTGGATCCTTAATTTGACTCAACAAAGCTTACTTGGTCGCGTGTGAATAGTTAAATCGAAGTTTTAAAACGCATTTTAACCAATAACCACCATAGGCATTATTTTCTGTAGTTAGATTTAGGAAAGATTAGAACTTTTATAGACAATTTGGTGAACAGATGAGATTGGTAGTCACATGGGTAGTCATCGTCCCCCCCCCCCAATTTCTACCCGGATTTCATCTTTTTACAAGGGCAGTCATTCAGCCTATTGGGGGTGGGGGCTGAGCCCCCCCCTGTCTACGCCACTGCGTGAATGGTCAATACTTGATCGTGTGAAATGCTTGATTTTACTGTCATGATCTGTGATTTGTTCTACAGCCGTGAGGCGTGATTGTCATTTGTCGATAAAAATGCTTCGTGAAATGGGAATTAAAGATGTCTGTTTCGTGAACTGTGATTTTGATTTGTTTATTCCGATCTATTTTATAATAGTGATAATGGACATAATACGCGATAATAATTTATATGATCGATCTCACGCGATTGCACAAGGGTGGAAGCTTCGGAGGCCTTTCGGAGATCGTAGGACGTACTCATCACTCAAACTTGTAAGTAGTTTTTAACTGCCAGGCAGAGAAGAGAACTTAAAGCGTAGTACTGTACCATGCATTAAACATAATCTTAAAGCTATTATTATTATATTATTTTTATTAGAGTCTCGTTATCCGTGAAATGTGAAATTGCTTTTTTACTATGGCACGTGAATTGTGAAACGGTATTGTTTTGTTGTGAAACGTGAATCATACCCCCTCCCTTTCCCACCCTCATTAATCGATGTCGAATTTACAGAAGTGTGGGACTTTCAGTGTTAAGATTGGGGTTTTTAGGGATACCATTAAGGTAATTTGTGGATAATTGAATTATTGAAGTCAAAGTTGTCAGAACTGGTTTGTATCGGTTTGTATTTTGCATGTATACTTCCGGTATTGTTAACCAAGGCAGAACCGAAACACTCAACAGAAAAAAACTAAGGGAAACTGAATTTTTCTTTCAATATAGAGTATTGCTAATTTAGAATTTTTTGTGCTCGATATTTTTTTTTGCTGGTGTTAGTGATGTTCGATTTTTTTTTCTTCCATTCGAGACATGCTCGATATTTTTTTTCGGATTTGCGCCCCCCCCCCCCATGAAAAATCAAATGGTCCGTCCCTAATACGTCCCTGCATGGTTGTAATCGGTTAGCCAATCAGAAGACGCAGTGACTTTGTTTATAATAACAAAAAGTGTTAAAAAATCTTACGACCAATTTCATCTTATAAACATTTTTTTAGTAAACAACGTTGCTGTTGTGTCTTCTGCTGCTTACCTTCACGAATTATCAATCGAGGTCAGTATTGGTAGTTCACTACCAAAGGGTTCGTATCAATAGACAAATTTGTTTAGCATTTGTTTATACACAATTCACAACTTTATATAACTCACATGTTACGGTTACCACTGAGTAATTTGAAAAAATACAAAACACTGGACACTCCGAAAACGGTTAACATTTTAATTCGACGTTTCGACTAGCTTGCAGTCATCATCAGGAATGACGCTGCTAAGAAATACAATACCATATATACAAGATCAAATGAAATAAGATATCTGTTAGCTAAAAATTATGAGTTCCTTAGAGGCTTTAAATCCGTGGTTAAGTTCCGGTCACTGGCGATGAATATATAGAGATTCTTTGAAAAGTGATAAAGACCAATGCCTGGATTTGTCTAATATCCTACAGTTGTTAAAAATAATTGATTCAGAAGTGAAGTAGTCTAGATTAAATAGTGTATGCATGCATGAGGAAGATTAAATAGCGTTCTATATTACACGAAGTGTTCGCATGAATTTATGTGTTTGTAAATCTCTGATTCTTTACTGCGGGCATGCTCTTATAGCGTTGTCATCAGACAGCGATCTGTCTTTCCGATGTAGGAAGCTTGACATCCAGAGCAACTAAATTAGTAGACTACACTGCTTTGTAGTTCTTTAGGAGTCCGGTCTTTCATGCTTAGGAAGGTGTCAGTGCTGGTGGTGTCGTAAATAGTGATGAATTGAGCGCGTTGTTTCAGCAAGCGCGCTCAATTCATCACTACTTACAACAATTTTAACAATCTACTAGGTGCAAAATTATAATATGATACTACAATCTTGGAAATAACAGGTGCGAATACGTTTCCCTCGATCTATACAAAATGTTCTCCTCCAACCCATGAATGTTGACCTTGTGTTATGGTAAATTATCAAAAGTTGTTTCAGCGTTGTTTTCACATTTAATTGGGGGGATGTGGGTGGGCGGGGTGACAAAGTTTGTTTTGTGAATGTTCATTAACTTAGCAATATTGGCTGCAACGGTCTCAAGGGTTATGTCCAAGATTCTAACTAACTTTCGTAAACAACGCTGAAATACTTCCGGGTTCGATCGTGGGCATGCTCATCTGGAAAATGTTGAATATCTTTTGGGTCTTTGGAACGGCATTACACGTATTCTGATAGAACATCAAGTCAACCAGAACACAGTATCATGGTTTCCACTTCTGCAGCGCCCACTTTGCTCACATTTTTCCTAATTTCGCGTCATAGTGGAAAATCTCTCTTTTATCAGTAGTAGAGACTTGCGATACTCTCCACCGACCATTCGAGTATTGGGTTAATTTCAGCCCAACAATTTTATAGCAAATTTGCTAAAATTGCCCCTCCAATTCAGATGCCATATCCATGGAAACTACCTGCATGCACGTAAAACGTGCTTTTAGTTTCCTTTTTAAATACAAAATAAAACAAGGTCTTATCTTGTTATTGGTCTTTTTGTTAATCGCTTTGATTATGTCTATATATATTACATAGTAAAATGTTTAAACATAATTCTATATTTCAGGTTCTGTGGACACAGGTTAATGCGAATTTAATGTCAACGGTTATGGTGAGTAAATCGTGCTGGATCAGAAGATAGAATACATGCAGTACATGCATTGTGTCCCCAAAATGTGTTAACCTATTTAATTTAATTGTGTCGACGGTTATGGTGAGTAAATTTTGCTGGATCAGGAGATAGAATACAGTACATGCATTGTGTCCCCAAAATGTGGGGATTATTAGATTTAATGCATAGAACTGTTGAACAGTTTTTGCACTCAAATAAGGTTGTTTATTTTATTCGGAAATAGCCTGGGAAAAGCAGCCGCGCCCGATTGTCTCGTCCCTTGACGACACGAACGTCTGCGTAATAAACTGTAGCGCGCCGAGCACACTGTATCCTATATAGATTAACATGCGCACAACAGAGAGCCCGTGTGAAGAACAATTTATTTGGTTAAAGTAGGTTAATTTATAGTTACAGGCTTAGGTTTGCGTACAGATTAAATAAGACATCATCCGCGCAACCGCAAATGTTCATTCCACGCACGCTACAAAACCAATATGCCCTGAATCGAATCTGCCCATCTCTTCTGATTGGCTGGTTTATAACGATTGTAGCTATAAATACGCAATGAATAGTTGAACCAAGTACTGTATAGAATGGAACGTAGAAAAGACGGAAATATTCTTCCCGCTAGGCTAGACGTATCGGTAAACGGGATCATACGAACGGCTAGCCCATTATATCCTTAACATTATTTTTAGTAAACACACAACCCCTCACCGACCCACCCATACCCAACCAACCTATGGTCAATATGTGGACTTTACTGGATATCGTTCCGTGTATGTCTTCTTTTATGTTTCTCTCTTTTGAACGATCGCGCTGTATCAATGTATTGTAGTAGCTTGGTTCAAATAGAGTAACAACTTCAAACTGATCTTCTTGCCTTGTCTGAAAACTCGAATGCCTTGCAATACATAGCCAATTCTTTTCGCTTAAATGGGGGTGCGGTGTTCACAATTTTTTCATTAAACCTTTTTCTAGTTAACAAGATTACTCACTCCTGCAATGGTTGAAAGGTACATAGGAAGGTTTTAGTTTCCGTACTGAGTATTAAATTTTCCTTTTTTATTTCATCATATAGTAATTATTAATACAAAAACTGCTAAGAATCGAACAAAGTAATGGACAACTTGCATGTTAGACTAAATTTTAATATAAGTAAAGAGAAGGGAATCAAATACAACAGTTAAAAAGAACATAATGAAATTAGTAAAATTGCAAAATTTGGTTCCGAAATGTTGTAAAATACAGAAAATATAGCCTTGCGAAGTTTGCATATTTTCAGTATATTTGTATTACGTGCGGAAATTGTTACCATTTTCGGCTCAAAAATGGTAACAATTTCCGCACGTAATACAAACATACTGAAAATACGCAAACTTCGTAAGGCTATATTTTCTGTATTTTACAACATTTTGTAACCAAATTTTGCAATATTTCTGATTTTAATAAGTTCTTTACGGGAATTTACTTTTTTTTGCCTAAATCAAAAATTAGTCTAACATGCAAGTTGTCTATTATGCCCATTAAAAACGCCTTTCATTATTTATGTTGGCGCTCAATAGAGAACTGCATGCAGCTAGAATTCTTTATTATATTAACCCTTACTAAATGTACGAACATTCATGTGATTTCATATATGAGTTATGGTGGTTTCAAGTCATTTGCATTTCACCTGATTTTATGTGATCTCGTGTGATTTCATATGGTACCATATGATTCGTGTAATTTCGTGTGATTCCATGTGTTTCACCTGGTTTCATGCGATTTAATGTAATTTCAGATGCATTCGTGTGATTTCATGATTTCGTGTGATTTTATGCGATATATTATGTTATTTCATATTAACATGTCATTTCATATTATTCCGTGTAATCTCATGTGCTTGCGTGTGTTTCACGCTATGTCAAGTGATTTGATATGCTTTCATGAGATTTCATATGATTTCGTGTACTTTCATGTGACTGCATTGGCTTAGAAAATCTTCCTGCAACCACACGGAATATACAAGATTATATAGAAAAAGACTCCTGCACATGTTGTACAACACAAAGCTCCGGACTTTAAAAAATCCCCCCCCCCCTCTTCCTCCCAGGATATCTATACACCTAATAGACTGTAATAAACATAAAAATGTTTGTAGTTGAAATATTCCTTGTCAGACTGTTAATATTGGTGGTAATGGTTTATTAACACATTTAGTAGTAGTTACGCTAGTTTACAATGTGTTTACAAATTTGGGTATAAAAATGTATATATATATTATATATTTACATGTCATTCATTAAAATTAAAGTTTTACTAATCTATATCTATTTACAATATGTATAAAAACTACTAATGCATACCTATTTGTACATTAACTGATAAAATTTTGAAAATGATGATCCTAATCAACTAATCTAGAATTATATTGGCAGTGTTTTAATGTTCACTTTAGTATAAGTTTAGATGTTCAGTCTTCTGATTTAACTCGCATTTTCTTGCAGCTTCTTCTTGCAATAGTTTGAAAGTAAATTTCTCGCTTTTACTCATCAAAAACACACGCTGAACGAAGGAAAAATAAAAAACAAAACTTTCGGACAAACGAACAAACGCATACGGACAATAGACAATTACAAGACGCTGAACTTTGATCAGCCAATCACATGCACCTTGGGAAAAATGTTCTTAAAATTGCGAGATGATGGAATAAGATATTACTGTGTTATAGTATATTTGAGAAGAAAAATTATATGAAGTAAAACCAGAGAACATAACTCACAACAGACACTCGCTGCTGTTCATAGAATGTTGAAAGGCTAGTCGATAAAAAGTTAAGGATAATCTACAGCAGCAACACTTGAAAAAGAACAATCTAATCACGATCAACGGATATCAAGCGCGTAAATTTGAAGATTTATGGGATTTATATGTCAAAAAAGCCTGGAAATTTCAAGAAAATCGGCATTTTCCCGGTTCCCGGTTAAATTAGAGACTGAGTTTGTCAAATACAACGGCCACGCAAACGAGAACGTGCTCATCAGCAATAGCGTCTTTACTCTAAGACAAAGGCGACCACAATTTGCATTCCTTATAAGCATTGTGGTACGCCGTAGTTGTTCAAACTTCTACGTTATTTACATCACCACGACTCATAACGACGCCAACAGAGTAAAACGTTCGTTTGGGGTTTTTATGTGAATCACTTTCTATTGTTACTTCAGGGAATTTCAGGGTTGTTTGAAGGAAAGACAAGTGCTTTTAAAATTTTAGTAATGAATGTTTTGGCTCGAATACAAAAGTATAAGTAATTTTGTTTCCTGCCCTCGCCGTTGTTGATGGTTGCCAAACTCACTATTGAAGCTCAAACTCACTATTGAATCTCACTTTTTTTGTTAGCACTCGTAGTAACGATCTAGAGACTAGAGTGAAGCTCGTGTGAAGCAGCCAACATTGTAGCTATAGTAGTTAAGATTTTAGAATTTGTCACGTGATCAGTGAAGCGATCTACTGCATATAGAATGACTGTCTTTTTTTATTCAGAAAAAAAGGAGTGGTTATTAATATATCCTCCATTGCTGGTGTAATGCCAACGTCTCTCCTTGGAGCATATGGAGCAACAAAGGTATAACTAGAAATATATGCATGCAGGAATAATATTTGATGGGTATATATTGTAGATGGAAATTATCAAGTGGAAAATTATTTACATTTATTAGACATAACCAGGACCAGAAGCGAAAAATGCAACTTTAGGTCCCCGGCAGGAATTCAACCTGCGATTCCGGTGCAGCGCTCTAACACCAACTGAGCTACAGAGGCCAATTGTCGAGCTCTAACCACAAGTTCATGTATATATATATATATACTAGGGTGCTGACTGGTATAGGTTATTGGTAAATATCAAGATTTTTTGTTGGCCGATGGGACACCACTTCTTCGCAATACGCACAAAATATACAGGCACTTATGAGCTTTTTTCACGAGAATGTTGATATTATTATTATTATTATTTAATCTTATTTACACACATATACAACGGTAGCCCATCATTCCATTTCCGGTGGTCGTCAAAAGTGACACCAAGTACTTGAAATGACGAGACGATGTTGAGTGGATTCCTGTTGATATGCAGGGAGGCAATGTTGTGACTTTGTCCTAGAAAGCTGATCACCATTTCTTTGGATTTCTTAATATTCAAACGCATGTCATTTTGCTCTGCCCATTGTTGTATTTCATTTTATTGGTCAGGTTGTAGTGTCGATTGATCACGTAGAGATAGAGATTCAGAATGAGTAAGATACTCAACATATTTTTAGTGTCTTTGTTATTGTTATTGTTATTGTTATTGTTATTGTTATTGTTATTGTTATTGTTATTGTTATTGTTATTGTTATTGTTATTGTGCTATAAATAACCATCTTACTCTACGCTATCACTCCAGGGCCGTATACCTACCTAGACGATAATTTGGGGGGGGGGGGGGGCAATTCATATATTCGTGTTCTGCCTGACGAATTTCTTTTTAAAGCGATTGTCTTTACGGTATCTGCACATGAATATATGAATATACCCCCTCCCCCAATGTTCGCGTCTAGTTACGGCCCTGTATCAGTCCAGTCCTGTCGTTTTACAACATACCACATGATGCCACATTTTACCAAGAATCGAAATGTCATGCATGATTTTAATTTTGGCCCTTTTTTTCCACACCACCTTTTAAAGTATAGATTTTAGAAATGCGAATAATTTCTTGTATATTGTTTCTTCTGAAATAGGCTGGTATGATCAAATTTTCTGAAAGTCTTCAGATAGAGTATGCCAACAAAGGCATAATTGTCCAGGTAACGTACAGTAAAGGCCAATTTTGTAATCAGTCATTCAAAATCCTCAGTAAAAAAGGTTTACTTATACAGGGTTATCTTAAACCGCGCATTTCGAAAATGTCCGCAAAACTGCAAATTCCGCAAAATTTGTTAAACCTTTATGCAAGCATGGGTATTTTGGGGTCCGCAAATTTTCGAGCGCAGGAAGGTTGTTTTTACAAACAACTTCAAAAATGGCTTGCGCACAAAAATGGAAGGCTTAAAACGCAATTTGAATTCATAGGGTGCAAATTTGGAAGGTTGTTTATGAATGTGCCAGACGATTTGACGTGCAATAAGTCCAACGCGCGACTATATGACTGTATGCCATATTAGCCATAGCAGCCAATTTAAACCAAAAAAGACTATAATAGACTGCAATGATTTTTTAAATTTCACCAAGTAGTATTGTCGTAAATTTCAGATCAATTATTGGAGTTCTTTCATTTATTTTACAAAATGTAGTGAGCCACATTAACTGATTTATTAAAATATTTTTGTACCAAATCGAAGTAAAGCCCCGTTTACATGACGAGCAATTTTATTTGACAAATTTTATTTGATCAAAAGCTATATAGCATGCTAGCTTTTGAACAAATGCATTTGTCACAATAAATTTGTCACACATTTATCATTACACAAGCCAAATATCTTTGACATATGAAATTTGTCAAATAAAATTTGCTCGTGTAAACGGGGCTTAAAATTAAAACGAAAATGGAGAAATGACAAAGTTTATCTTAAAAGTCCAAAAAAGACTATAATAGACAGCAATGATTTTTTAAATTTGTCTTTGATTTTCGATTTTTGTTTTAAATTTTTTGGGGTATATTATATTTGAAATATCGATAAATGAATTATTTGCTATTTCATATAAATACAGTGTGTGATGCCATTGTTTGTTGCAACAAAGATGAGTGGTAAGAAGCCAGCGTTGTTTTGTCCTACTCCAGATGACTACGTACGTAGTGTGTTAAAGAAAGTTGGCGTTACCTTGAAATGTCATGGTTACTGGCCTCATGAGTTACAGGTAAATGATAGACAGAATACATGGTCCACCAGGGGCCTGTGGTATATGAAGGCCAGATAGCACTGTGTACTGGATAGCAGGTTTTTCAAACTTTCCAATAACACGTTAATTGACTTCAGTATTTATAAATTAAAATATCCTTTTAATAATTGTGAGGTTCATATCCGAATATCCGACATGTAGCTTTTAAGCATTTTTATTGTTATTATATACATGACAAAATTACTGCAATCTGATTGGTTAAGAGGAGTGCAATTATTTCTGGCTGGGGGGAGCGGGAAATCAAAACAACAAAAATCCAATATGGCGGCGAAATTTGTCTTACAAACGTGGACGAATTTAACTAAATTTTGGCACCAGAATGAGTTTAAAAAACATGGTGTGGCAAAAAGAGCCTGTGGAAAATACCTGGAAACAGTCTTAAGAAATAATATGGGCGGGATGCAGCGAAACGTGACTATTTAAGTTTGTAATACAATTTATAAAGATTTTCTTACTCTAAAATATGTTGTTTGAGTTTGAATCTTGTGTTCTAGTTTAAGTTATGTGCCTTTATGAATTTATAATCATTTCCCAAGTTTGTTTAATTATACAAAATTGTTTACAAAAGAATTAAAAACTCTTGACAAAATGCAGTTGAATTTTAAAGAAAGCGATTTTGTCATGCATATAATAATTAAAATAAATAATTACACGGGCAAATCGTGCAATTAATGATTAACACTACTCGTGATATTTGAAAAATGTGCCAAAATTGCACGAGCCGCCGAGGCGAGTGTAAGCTGGCACATTTTTCAAATATCACGAGTAGTGTTAATATCACAAGTAGTGTCCTTCCCGTGTGATTACCTATACTAATTGCATTCCACGTGTACAATATATAATTTATATTTAACTTATTTTAATTAACTTTTAAATAATTAAAACAACTATATACTAGTATTCATTCAAGCATGCCTTTTATCTCTTTGAACCAACAAATAATGTTTTTTCTTTAGGCATTTGTATACAACGGACTGCTACCGCGATGGTTAGTTGCAAAATTGGCAGCTAAAGCAACGAAAGGGATGAGAGAGGGTAAATTGAGAGGGGGAAATGAAAAGAAAAAATCGTAGTTTCTGACGAGTTTTTAATGAAAACTGTCCAAATAAGGTAGATGTTCTTTAAATCCCGCAAATTAAGTTTAATTATGTTTCGAGCTATATATACTCGACTCAATTTAACAATGGTTGTTTTTATATGCAGATATGAGAAATATACAAATGTAACTCATGCATGTAAATTGCTGTTTATTAATAACAGATTAGATAGATAGATAGATTATTTATTTCTTAAAACTAGCAGCCATATAGCTGAAATATACGTTTAAGATTACAAAGGTATGATTTAAAATTAGGTAAAAATGTTTTAGGAAGTTACATCTTCAATGAGTTATAAGTCATAAAACTATTCCTAAAACATGATCTTTTTCTGTGTTGATGTTGTGTACTCAGGTGAATAGTATGATGCTTGTGATGTTACTCTGAGTGTATATCCACACCGGTCAGGACCGCGTAGCTCAGTTGGCAGAGCATTGGGCTAGTATTCCAAAGGTCGTAGGTTCGATTCCCACAGTGGCCGGGCATATTTTTCAAGCTCTCCCGGTGTGGATATACACTCAGAGTAACATCACAAGCATCATATTCCTAAAACGTTTTGTATTAAAATTGATATTAAATAAATGTTGTGTCCTAAGTTCCATATTTAAATGTTCTAAACGGGGAGACAGATGGCCATGGAGCCTGTGCGATGGATCGGCAACTATTTTCTGTAACAACTTCGTTGTTAGATGATTCCTCCTTTCACTAAGACGTTGCAAGTTAGTTAATTTCAGAGCGTTTTCATAGTTATGATGGGGCAGAATTATTTTTAGTGCTCGCTTTTGGACTGATTCTAGATCGTTTGACAATTACGATGTAAGGCTATTGTGGAAGACCGGGCAGGCATACTCCAGAACAGGTCTTATGCACGATTTGTAAAATTGAAACAATTCCTTAAGTCCAACATTTGCTCGTTTTAATTGGGTAAGATGGTAAAGGCGTTTACGGCATTTCTTGATTACTTCATTCACGTGGATGTTCCACTTAAAATTGTTGGCTATATGCAATCCCAAAACTTTCGCGTTTTGGACAATTTCCAGTGTGATGTTATTGATGGTAATTATAGGCCGTGAGCTATAGTGGCGTGGTGCCCTCAAACGTTTAGTTTCATTGTACACGTCGCTAAGTTAAAAAATACTTACATATTATAGATTTAAACACGTTGAATCCAAATCTAAAAAGTTGTTGTTGATAAACCCTGCAGTTTTTTTGTAAATTGCGATCAAAATCTTAAAATTTCGCAATAGCATTTTTACTATATGCCATACCTCAAAATGCGTAATCTTGGAACCAGCACTCGCGGGCCATAGTGAAAATTATACAGGATAGGTCACTTCCGCCTCCTCTATCTACGAGATATGTGAATTCAGATTTGATGTAAACAAAGAGCGACACGATTTTCAAGTTTCATATGTATTTTCCGACTTTGTATACGAAGATATTTAGCAACACCAGGCATTCTTTCAAGATTATGAACTTATGTGTACACTATTTCATCTTTATGGCGTGTAATAATTAATAAAGGACTAAACAAACTTCAATTTTATATTTTGAAGACAGAATAATGGACAATATTATACCTCAAATTCAAATTGTCCAATCAGGAAGCTTAGTTTGTGCCACGTGAGCATGAAATTAATCGCGATATCACGCCTTACGTCATCAATTAGCGAGCCTGCGCTCCTTTTGACAATGTTCCACCCCATGTTCCCCGGGGAACATGGGGTGGAACATTATTCGCGTAGACCACGCGGGACAACACGCATGACAACAAGATGGCCGACAAAACATAAATAGTATTAATGAGTGATGAATAATTCAATTTTAAACCTAAAACCCGGGGCTTTTTCAAACCTAAAACCTGGGGCTTTGTCATTAATATTCCAAACGATATGTGATTCGAAAGAAAAGCGACGACACTTGCGTTAATCCGAAAATAAAACATCGTATTCACGAAGGTATGTGTCAAGTTTTTAATTCTCAACTTGGAGGCTTTTAATTTTCGGTATAATATATCATTTATAGACCCTCCGCTCGGGGGATTCGGCGAAATATTACCCGAAGTGATGATATTTCCCGAGGGGCTTTGAAATATTACCCTCAGTGATGATATTTCCCTCGGGGCAAAGCCCCTCGGGAAATATCATCACTTCGGGTAATATTTCGCCGAATCCCCCTCGCTCCAGGTCTATAAATGATAATAGGCCTACTATAGTATTTGGATATTTGTATGGTAAACCAAAAACTATCAAATTTATTTAATACTTAAATGGCGAATATATAAAATACATATTTAAACAATACTATAATTAATACCATATGCTATAGAGTAATTAATAGCACATTAGCTTTCTTTTCGTGTAAAACTACACATATTCACCATCATCACAATCCACTGCCTCCTCATCAAAGTCATTGACATTGTCAATTAGCTCTTCATCTATCTCACTGTTCTCAGAATTGCTGCATTGGCAAAGTTCAGTGCACTTCAAATTTGCTTTAAAACATGAGCATATTTTTGTTTGACAAGCCTTTTTGGTAACAAATTCTATAAAGATGCTGTCGGCTGTCTGGAGCAGGCCCTTGGGTCCCCCATATGCAGGGGTGGAAAAAGTATCAGACCACAGGATCGAAAATTTAGACAAAAGGAGAAATTCAGAGGGAAAATTGTAACCAATAGAAAGAATGTTAGGACCTACCTGTTTTGTAGGAATGAGCTCAGAAATGCAGTTATAAGTGCATCCATCTTCATTCATAGTGTGATAGTGTATAAATGTATAGATTATAGAGTGATATGTAACAAATTTTGCATTGGAATATGCATTTTTAGCCAATCTGGTGCACTTGATTTTCAAAATATTCTGGAGAAGCATTGTCTCCTTCATAGCTGCTCTTTGTCTCGAGGTTTCTTCTCATGAGCGACTGCTCACTCGAGCACAACATTCCATTCCTTTTGTCTTACGTATCAATATCACTATCAGTTCTGTGCTTTCCATATTTTCACATTGGCATAATTCTGTGCATTGTAAATCCGCTTTTTTACATGAGCACCTCTTGGTGTTGCAGCCTTTCTTGCACCTGCACATTACATAATTTCAAGAATATTATCTGGAGCACTTTCCATTAGGCCCCATTTGATGTCCAGATCAGTTGCTTCTATGGTCCAGCCATATCCATCTGGTGATGGTGCAGAAAGGCTGCAAAGGGTGCTCATGTAAAAAACGGATTTACAATGCACAGAATTATGCCAATGTGAAAATATGGAAAGCACAGAACTTATGGAAACTGATAGTGATAATGGACTTGATGAAGATTCTGATGATGATGACAATGAATTTTAGACTGTTCAAAAATGTTATTCTTGGTATTGTCAGATATTGTTACATATGTATGATTTAACAGGGTTCGAATTACCACAGACTGCAATTTGCACATCGTTTTGGACCAAATAGTGAAAATTGCATATCACTTTTCTAAACGATATGCGAAAAAATGGACTGGGACTATTAAATTTAAACTAACGTCGATCCATCCATATTTTATAGATTTAAACAAAGCCAATCTTTAATTTGTCTTATGATTTATAAACAAGTGCTTTTGCATGCACACTAGCAGCATGTTTACCGACTGGAAGTTGTCAAATTTTAGCCACCAAGACAGACAAACACATGACTGATCAATGTTATCTGCAGTAATGTTATATGCAGCATGACTGAGTAATGGTGTCTGCAGCTTAATTGGTTTAAGATATCTAACATAAGACAAAAGGAATGGAATGCTGTGCTCGAGTGAGCAGCCGCTCATGGGGAGAAACCTCAACACAAAGAGTAGCTATGAAGGAGACAATGTTCCCCCAGAATATTTAGAAAATCAAGTTCCCCAGATTGGCTAAAAATGCACATGCCATGCAACATTTGTTACTTATAATATAGCATTTGTAAATTCTGAACGCTGATTGGCTAAGAGCCGCGTTGATATAACTCAATGTCAACACGGCCTCCTTTTGAGTAACCTGAAGTTCAGGCCCTAATTTGAAATAGGGCCTGACACAAAACCTGTCTAGACCGTGGGACGCTCACATGTTATTTTTAGACACAACATGCAATATGATTGACAAGTGTTGTAGTCTTGTAGATTTCGTTACACACAAAATTTATATTCTCATAAACATATCCGCAGAGTGTGCATTTTGCTTTATAATTAAACTTAAAAATTCAAGATACTTTTATATAATTAAGAGTCAGTTTCTCTATTTAACCGAACAGCAAACAAAGATTTAATTAGTTCTGTGCACGGCTTGACTGCCAAGTTTTCTCAAGGTCTCAACTTGCTGGACTCGGATATATTCTAACGGGCTAACAACAGCAACAATGAAATTCTCAATCGTACCACGAAGAAGGCGATGTAGCTCAGAAAACAACGCCGGTAGGATCTGATATTAAAAATAAGACTTTTGCCGGCGAAGCCAGTTGGCAGAACATCTAAGTTGGCTGTCATTAGTCAACAACAAGCTTTCGAATATATGACTAGTTTGGCTGTTCTTTCAGCGTCGTGTGTCCAAAATTCGTCCAAGATTTTGATAAAGCCCTTTCAAAATACTGTTTGTTTGATTTTCTGCCATAAAGCATAAAAGAAAAGAAATTCGAAGAAATCGATAATGGAATTTGTTACGTGCGTTTGACCTTTATATTATTATTAATTGTCGCCTTGACTGAGCTATTTTTAAAACTGTTGTTTATGTAAACTTGCAACCAATCAAAATCCTTCATAATGCTGATCAACCAATCAGATTTACCGTCCACCAGATGGACGGGAATCCCACAGTTCAGATAGGTTTTGTGTCAGGCCATAGTTAATATAGAAGACCGGGTTTGGAAGGCCGGCAAACTTCAAAGCAACACGTGATCAAATGGGATACCATGTTACAAAGTACGTCACGTGACAGCTTATAGTGCATTCGAGCTGCAATTCATAGTAGAAACTTATAGAAAATAGAGGGATCTTTGTCTAAAATCACCATTTTCTCGTCTCATATGAGGTCTATGGAGCCATGCGACATTGAATACATGGAGATGGACGAAGAGAGTTTTTTGCCATTTTATGAAGGCAATGGAGCCTATAGTTCGGGTTTTGAAGACGATTTTGATCAAACTCTTGCTAATGCTTGATATGGACTTCGAGGTGGTGATGATCGAGGTTCAAAATTCTCATGAAGAGGTGAGTTAAATATCAAAATAACTTATAAAAGTAAGCCGTGCCTTTTCAATAACCTCACCTATAATTTAACTTGAATCTAGGTTGAAGGAAATAAGCAATTCCCTTGCGACTTTTGTGAGAAAATTTGCAAGTCAAAGGGTGCATGGTCTAACAAAACATCAACATCCTTCTGAAGCTTTATATTATAAATTAAAAGAAAGAAGAGCAAAGAAAACTTTCTAAAGGAGTTTTATGGCAATACAAATGCCCATTGGCATTTGACTCTGAGGTAATTAATTGTTTTCTGAGTTTATGACATAGTTATATTTATCAGTTTGACCTAGCTAGCTAGATGGTGTATGTCTGGAGGTAGTGAATTTCAATAAGGTCTATAAATTGTATAATATATAATACTGGTCAAACCTATATAGAGTTCCCTCAAATTATGTAATGATTTTAAAAATACAACTACCCTGTACCCACAACCATCTTGGTTTCCAAAAGGTAATGGACCAGGGTAATACCCCTGGGTAGAAATATAGTAGCTCAATTTACCCAGTGTATTAGCATTTATTGTGTTTTTATTAACTTATTTTAGGATGAAGGTTCTGTATCATCACAAAAGCTTGGCCATTGACCTATTTGGCTGGTTATGTCATGAACTCACGATAAGATCTTTGTATCGAAAAAGCAAAAATTGTTCCAGGTGGCACTCCCAGAGAAACAAAGAAATTCAAGCCTTGATGTATTCAATGCGAACTGCAACAGAGGACAATGAGTACATTTAATCGTTGTGGTGGCCTTTGGTCACCTCATTTATGGCTTGTAGGTGTAGGTGTAATGGAAGTTAGTGAGTTAGTTTTTAGTAAGCAGACGAATAAAGACAAGGTCACTTGTCTCCCAGTAGACAAAACAGTGAATGAGGTATTGGCTTCTTCCCTTGTGAAAAGCTTGTGGTGCAATATTATTGCAAATTATGATATGGAAATCTCTAAAGAATGTCAGTTCCTCTGTTTAGAAAATATTGTAAAGTTATATGTTACTGTTAGATGTTTTCATTTGCCAAAGATACTGTAAATAATGTGTGACTAGTGAGTGATGTAATTAATCAATATTAAATGTATTCCTTGAACCCTTTTGCCACCAAAGAAGTACATTAGTTTTTTAAGATCACGTCTTTAAAATTTATTGCATTTGACCAAATGTCCAGCTTAAATATAATCTAGGGTATTGAAAAACCATAACCAATCACTGTCACCACTGTGCTGTCACACATGGTATGTGACACATTTGAAGTGCATGATCACATGATCTACTGAAATCTAGCAGGTTTCTAATTAGCAATCCAACCTGAGGTTTATAAATATTTGATGTTTGGATGATTTTTATAGTTTAATTAATTTTATGAGATGTATTTTGTATGATTGTCATAAGTAAAGGAGTCCAATATAGTTAATTAAAAATCTGCCAAATTTTATGAGATTTTAGCACGTCATGTGACAAGCATCTACCAGGGTCTTTTCTCTCCAAAAGAAAAGATCCTGGATACAAGGTTGGTCTAGACATTGTTACTAAAATATTTATTGCAACTGAATGCTAAATGTAAATATTTTTTAGTAGGTTTTAATTGCAAATATTTATATAGTGATGAAAAAATATGTACACTAATTAACTACTACATTTCAGTTTAATTAATTAAAGGGTATTATTATGGAGTAAATCTAGCATTATTTGAAAGAGATACACTTAAATACTGATTGGATAGGAATAAGTTTTTAACACTCCTCGTGAAGTGCTACATCACCTTTCACTGTGGTCAGCTTATAAGCAATCCTCCCCAAGCTAACTGATTCAGGGACAAATATTGCTGTTTAGCCAATCATAATGAAGCGTAATCTTACTAATATACTGTAGCACTTCATGGGAGTGGTAATAGACCTTAAAAGTGCTTATATCACACAATTTTGAGTCAATATAAACATTAGGTATATTTTGTCCTGCATGTTTCCCACATTGCATTGCAATTTATTGTTTAGCACGTACTGATATGACTTACTTAACCCATTCAGTAACATTGTGCCCTGATGGGCCCTACTTTACTCTGTCTAATGCCAGACTATTTTACTCTGTTTAATACCAGACAATTTTATTTGTCAAGGGTAGAGTGTTGGTGTTTAATGGGTTAAGCACTTCTAAGGTACTGTTAATTTTGAAAATTCTTAACAAGGTAAACTATTAGATCATTTTTGTGGCATGAAGTACATATTGGTGTCAGCACTAAATTGCTTCAAAGTTATATCATGCATAGCTAGATCAAGCAAAATTATAATGAGCTTTAGCTCATTTGTTTTAACAGCATGGAAATTCTCTAAATTTAACCCATTAAGTGGCAATGTACCCAGATGCACCCTACTTTATTATTTTACTCTGTCTATTACATACAGTAATGCCTGATGATTTTACTCGTAGCACTGTGCACAATACAATAGTACCTCCATAAGAAATGTTCAATATGTCTACAGACTTCAAGAGTTCTCGCAAAATGATCAATATTTTGCATTACTTGTTAACTATTGTTCTCATAACATGTTCAAGATCACTATTTCTTAATTGCTTTATGTTCTTCTCTTTGGGCAATGACTCCTCACTGACATTACACATTTACACCACTTGCTTCGCTTTAATACCAGAATGCCGTCCAGAATTGAAACATTTCCTTGAATGGTTGTCAGCTGCTGTTGGGTTTTACAGTAAAATATCATTCCTTCTCCCTTGTGCTCGCTGGTATTAAACCGAAATACTCTTAAACATCGTATATCATCCTGGCAGAACCGTTCTGTGAGCACAAACTCAAATCCTTCGCTCAACAAAAACCTTGTCAGGGCAACAACTGAATTTACAGTCTCTTTAATTGATAGTCCAGTATTAAAAGGTTTGGGCAATCTTATTACTGCCTGGTTTTGCCTGGTAGATATAAGTTGTTCTCACGTTATTGCCTCTTTCGCACAGTTTTAACTCATTGCTTACGAAAAAAATAAGAATACACGTACGACAATCAATGTATTTCAATCTTGGGATGTTTCTATGCTCGAAAACATGCCGCTCGCCTTTAATATCGATCTGGCGACGTAAACTTTTGTCCATATGTCGATTCTTTGTAATTATGTTTCGTAACCCAAGCCTCTCGAGCTCTAGTTGATCATTCGTCTTTGCCAGACGGAATTCGAAAGATTCCGAGCCCAACATGCGTTCTGCTTGTTCCACAACCAAATATTTAGCAATTGGCTCGAGGCATTGTAAAAAAATCGCCAAACTAACAGCTTTTTTCGCTTCGCATGTCATGGTATAAATTCGACACTCATTGTATAGAATCACTATGGCCATTGTTTACGATCTTGCACGCAATGCACTATATGTTCCACGTGACCGAAAATCCAACATATTTCGTCACGTGACCCAGCCTTCCAAACCCGGTCTTCTATATTAACTATGATAAGACATAACAAGCAACTCTCCATGCAGAGACTTCCAACATTTTTGGAACAAAACGTAACAAAATAGTAGCGTTGATCCTGTGATGTGTATTTGAAAAAAGCAATATTATTTCCTTCATTAAAGAATAATATTCATCCTGCTCTAACCGAGAAATAATCAACTCTGTTTTGAACCCATGAAAAACATAAAAAAATTAGGCTATTTAAGAAAATTTTAAGCGCCTGTCTTGCATGGTCTTTCATGTACCTTTAAGTTTGTAAAGCCTAGTTTCCATTTGGTCGTTAGTTGTCGCTGGCACGACAAGTGGCGGATGTAACAGAGTGTCAACAAAACTTATGCTTTGCGCGCTTAGAGTTTAGGGTTTAATGTTTCAAAGGACAATCTTTATAAAGGACAATCTATATATATATTTATATATGTATACAGACGGTACCGTTTCGGCCTTATGGGCCTCATCAGTGTAGTGCTGATGAGCAGGATCAAAGTAACTGCCATTTACAGTTACCTTTGATGCCTCACGAATGTGGCATCTGTAAAGAATCATACCACCTTTGAGAAGGAAGTTTTCCGTCAAGTGTATACATACTTGTCTGTGAACTCTCTATTGTCAAAATTTCAACATGGTTTTCGACCAAAACATTCAACTGTTACTGCCCTTATCCAAATGTGTGATGAGTGGTTAGAAAACATGGACAATGGAAAAATAAATGGTGTTGTGTTTCTAGACATTAACAAGGCATTCGTTTCTATCAATCATCGTGTTTTATTGAATAAAATGAATAAACAATTTGGAATCATTGGCTCGGAACTAAAATGGTTTGAATCATATTTAATGAATAGAGTACAGCATTGCAGAATAAATGGAAAATTGTCTGACAAAAAATGGATTAACTGTGGAGTGCCTCAGGGTTCTGTACCGCGGTCCCTGTTATTTTTATTATATATTGATGACCTGCCTGATTGTCTGAGATCAACCGCTCCTTGCATGTATGCGGACGACACTCAAATATTGTCATCGTCTTATAATGTAAATGAACTTGTTGTAAAGCTAAATTCGGACCTTGCTCATGTTTTTGAATGGATGAAAAAAAATAGATTGCAGATGCATCAATCTAAATGTAAAATGATGTTTGTTGGCTGCCCGCACAATCTTAACAAATTAGGGTGTGAAGAACCTATTATGGTAAATGCAAAACCCATACCACGAATCAGTACACAAATGTGTCTGGGAGTAAAACTCGATGAAAATTTGAATTGGGACAGTCATATTACATTGATATGTAAGAAAGTAAGTGCAGCTATTGGCGTTATGACACGTATGAAACCTTTTGTTCTGATGTATACATTAGAATCTGTTTATAAAAGCTTGGTACACAGCCATACTTTGATTATTGTTCCCCTTTGTGGGACACTTGTGGCAAGTTGTTAAGAGATAAGCTCCAAAAATTTCAATCCCGGGCAGCGAGGGTTGTAACGGGTGCTAATTTTGAGTTTCGGTCGGCTGATGTTCTTAACTCACTCTCGTGGGACACTCTGGAAAATAGACGTTCCGGTGCCAAGTTAGTATTGATGTATAGAATACTTAATGACCACACTGACCACACTTACAATCTCCGCAATATTGTTACAGACCTTACATTACCTAAGCCAAAAAGAGAATTTTTAAAAAAAAGCTTTAAATATAGTGGTGCTGAAATTAGCAAGTTCGCTTTACTCGTTTAGATTAAATGTTGGACAGTGACATGCATACATTTGTATATAGAAAAGTGTGTATATATAGTATTTAGATATAGTTATTTATTTATTTTCAAACATTTTTAATATTTAACACGCCCCTCATGGAAATCAGCCCAGAGTTGATTGGGCTGGCGTGTTCCTTTTTGTAAATTTTAAATAAAGTATTGCCTGCCTGCCTGCCTGCCAGCCCGCCCTGCCTGATGATTCTTTACAGATGAAACAGACTGTTGCGGAATTTTGAATAAGCGAAATTCTGTTTGCTCTGTCAATATGGTATATTGAGCACTCTTTGCGTTTCGTATACAAAAACGTACTCGTATATATATTTATGCCAATTGCCTTCCTGCTATTCACGAGGTGTTGCATTTGACGAGCTCAGTTTACTGGGAAAACAAAACACGCGACTTGGGATAATTTGGCTGCGAAATTGGTTCACAGCCGCTTTATTTAAAATCTCGTCATTTAATTTGAAATATCATAAAATCATTAAAATCGATAAGTCGAGTTAATAATTTGAGTCTGTTAATGTTTATTGTCAGTAAAGATGGCAATCCTCTCCTTTGTGAAACTTGAAGCAGTAGCCTCGAGGAGTTGAATTTTCCGGCCCCTTACCAGAAAGGATAGACGGGGCACGTTGCATTGTGCTGGATAATTTTTGCGAAGTATGTTGCGATCACAGCAACAATTCCCAGTGAACATTGGCCCAAGACAACGAACTACGCTGGGTTTGAGGAAATTTTAAGGAACGGCTATTAAACCGAATATATATATACATATATATATATATATATATATATATATATATATATATATATATATATATATATATATATATATATATATATATATATATATATATATATATATATATGTATATATAATTAATTTGTTAACTTAAAATATAGTCACAACTCTGAGTTTCACGCTCAATGCGATCTTCAGCCGACAATGTTTAAATCTCAATTAAAAAAAAAATTTTAAAAAAATGTGTATATATATATATATATATATATATATATATATATATATATATATATATATATATATATATATATATATTAGTGGTTTGGAATCATTAAATCGAAAACATTTCAGATCTAGTATCAAAATGTTAGATTGCGTAGTCGTTGAAAGATTTTGAAAATTTCTCACTTTAGGCTTTCCTAGTTTGACATCACCAACGATGATCTCTCTGACAGCATTTATTCTCCTTCTGTGTTCAATAAATATGGTCAAAGAACTACTCCAGGTCAGTAGGGGACTAGGATGTATGTGAGTGTATTATGCTGTAAATCATATGCCAAATATATTTTACTCGTGTAGATGATAAGTTTAATTTGTGACAAATTTATTGTGACAAATACATTTGAACAAAAGCTAGCATGTTAGCTTTTGATCAAATGCATTTGATCGAACAAAATTTGTCAAATAAAATTCGCTCGTGTAAACGGGGCTTAATACAGTGTGTGAAAATTTGGGGGATTGATTGTTGACCCCAGATCTGGGTCGTTGATTCTGTCTGATCACGACTGAACTCAATATGGCTTCAGATTGGCTGGACTTATACCAGCGAACGTTGGACTATGATTTTGAAAGTCGAAATAATATTTTCTCGATTTTTGATATTCACTATAAATTTTAGTTCTCTCTTTGCATCAAACCACTCTTGGTTTTGCAGATGAATATGATAAACAATTGAGCAAATTAGAATGCAACAAAGAGTTGAAAATAACGGTAATTCGTGCGCCTGGTACGTAGGAAAGCTGTCTTCACAACCCGGGCCTGTGAAGTTATATTCTCAAAATACTGTAACAATAATTCTGTGTGCTAACACATTTGTAATAATGGCCTACACAGTATATATATATATATATATATATATATATATATATATATATATATATATATATATTATGGTTGATCCCCGAGGCAACGGAGAATAAGCGCCGTTCCGGGCAATATTGCGAGGCAAGGGTAATTAACTCAACTCGGGCATTTATACAACCGGGGATAGGAAAGCAAGCGGATTTGAGCTGATTTAAAAGTTTATCAAAGATCGTGGGCGCGTGACTATGGTTGATATAAATCAATTGGTAGTCATTTCACTGATCTCAAAAATATGGCGAATGTCAGGACTGGAATTCGAAAACATCAATGACAGACCGTAAAAGTTAATGGGACGAGAAGCCAAACAGTTCTCACCGCATAATAAGAAAGGATTTACTAAGGTAACAGATTACAGAAACTCGCAAAACACAAGACAAGTTTGTTTTAAACGTTGATATATTGTACAGCGTAGTTCACCGTCTTCTCCAGTGTTGGTTTATATTTTATAAAAGGCGACACAAAAGGCAACAAACTGGGTTGTATAAAAATCTAAGGTAAAGAAAGTATACACTGTTGGTCGAAATGACAACTAATATTGGTCACCTGGATGCATCTGTGAGAACAATTTAAAAATAGGTACGCGACGCGTACATGTATCTGCGAAAAAACTTGATTGACATTTTGCATTTCTTGAAAGGAACTGAATAATGAAGATGACATGGGACAATTGAAATATTTCATCACTTATTATAATATAATAGCAAATAAGATTTTAAAGTCAAACATAATACATATCTAACAGGGCTGTAGACAGTGCGGAGGGCAACAGAGGCAACTCCCGCGGCGCCGGAGAAAATGTAACTAATTTTATAATGTGATTATGCATGATTGGACAGATAATTATGTAGTCAGGAAATTCCAATCCAGTGCACAGTTAATGATATACCACACTGACAACTGTTCGGCTTGACACAGCATATCCACCCAAAAACAATTTGTGTTGTGGGAGAATATCAGTTTGAGTAGAAGGTATATATCACATCACAAGTTTAATTTGTACATTGTGTGCCATTTTATCTGATTCATCCATATATAATATATGATTATTGTAGTTGTTAAGTTATTTTCCATACTAATGAATTTAGGTAAGATTGTCTTGCAAGTGGCCGTTGTTCTGACAAAATTATCCAGCCAATATCCAGTACATTTATTTATCATTCTTGTATTAATCTCTAAGCAAAAACATTTAAGTTAGAAAGCAAAATGACAATAAAATTATGTAAATGTTTTGAAAATTGAAAATGAATTTTTCATGTTTGTAAAAA